CCCCGTCATATGTTGTGTATTAGTGAAATTACGTTTCAGTCACAATCATCTTTTTATAGGTTCTCTTGCTTGTGCCTTAAATGGGAAAGCATACAAAAATGGATTAAAGTTTATCATTATAATTTATCAGTTTTAATTATTCACTTCAAGAATATAACCTTGGTGTAACATGATATTAGTTGTAGTGGTTTGCTTTACTTTTGTGTTTTATTTGCAGCCTGACTGGACGTTTGTTCTGGGAGAGCAGGCCCTGGACATTTCTGTCCCCTCCTTCTCCCATTCCTCTTCCTCCATCCTTGTTCTGGGTGAGAGGAACCTCTTCTGTCTCCGTGACAACGGGCAGATCCGCTTCATGAAGAAACTGGAATTTAACCCCAGCTGCTTCCTACCCTATGCCTCAGGTAAACCAGAGGGAAAGTGACTCAGAAACGTCTGGAACAAATAATCTCATTGAACTCTTTTTTTTTCTTCTGCCCACATGATGCTATGTTACTTGATGTTAAACGTCTTTGTAGGAAAGTTTTTCCGATTCCTTCAATTTCCGTTGTCAACTATTGCTTCATTAAAACATTTTTAATGGCAGATATTTATAACCACGGTGACTGTTTAAGTTTATTCCACATATTCTTTGGTAAATGAAACAGCCATAGTATCTCTAAAAGCTGTTTTCTTATAGCCGTTGTGTTGGGTAGATGTGTGGACAACATCAGTCCGTTCCAAATGTCTTAATTCTTTCCTTCTGGCGTTCAGCCTCGCAGCTGCCTTAGTTGGATCAAACTCTTATCGACAGCTCCCATCCATCTTCCTGTCTGTCTGTTGCTCTCTCTTTTTTTTATATAATTGTTTTGGCCTGTGCTCCAACACAGCATTTCTTTGCCATGGCTCCTCCCTGAAAGAATGTGATAAACAGATGACAGACCTATTTAAATACAATCATTATTATCTTATTATTTCATTAATATAAAAAGATGCGAGTCATATGCTTTCAAACCGCTCCTGGGATTTCTGAAGTGATGTGTTTGACAAACCCTGACAACATCAAAATTGGTTTTGGAGCGATGGGTGGAGTTCCAGACGGTTACATTTTCCCCCTAAACAGTTTACATGCATGCAAACAAAGAAAAACAAAAATCACTCAAAAGCCAGTAATGGTGCCAAAGAAAGTAGTGAGATCATAATTTTATCATAAAAAAAAAAGAAATACAACATATTTCCCTGGCTACACCTGATTATTGTGGTTTCGAGGCTCTTACATGCAGACCCATCTTCATATTGCTTCCCTTACATCTCTCTACTTCTTTACATTCCTCATTCCTCCTTTTGGTTTTTACTTTGCTCTTTTAGTGGAACATAAAATGCTACCATTGTGCCCCTTTCATAAAGCTTTCGGTCTTGTAAAGAACTACTTACTAACTCTCTCATAGTGGTACAGTTTTATAAGTATGTATTTTTATAGTAGCAAAGCCCAAATCTAAAAAAAGTCAACCTAAAACCTAATAATAATGAAACAATCAAGAGGCAAAGCATGTTTATTTATATAGCACAGTTTATTACTCAGACAGTTTAAAGTGCTTTACATGAATTAAACAATCAAATAAAAGTAGAATTAAACAAGTAAAGATAAAAACATGATAAAAGCAGAAGTAGCAGAGGAAATAAAACAGTTGGACTACAACCTTAAACTAATGATACCTCAGTTTAAGTTTAACAGTCAGAGGCAGCTCTAAACAAATGGGTTCTTTGAGTTAAAAGAACTCAGGCTTTCAGCAGTTTTCCAGTCTCCTGGGAGTTTGTTTTCCAGATCAGTGGGACATAGGAACTAAATGCTGCTTCTCCATGTTTGGTTCTAGTTCTGGGTGAACAGAGTAGGCTGGAACTAGAAGACCTGAGTGGTCTGGGAGGTTGATGCCCTGACAACAGATCTGTTATGTATTGAGGTGCTTATCTTTTCAGTGATTCTTAGGCTAACAATATGATTTTAAAGTCTATTCTCTGAGCTACAGGGAGCCAGTGGAAGGACTTCAGAATCAGGCTGATGTGCTCTACTTTCTTATTTCTAGTGAGAACACGGGCAGCAGTGTTTTGGATCAGCTGCAGCTGTCTGATGGACTTTTTAGACAAACCTGTGAAGACACTGTTGCAGTAATCAATTCTCCTTAAGATAAATTTATAAATAAGTTATTCTAGATCCTGCTTTAACATTAGTCTTTAATCCTGGAAATGTTCTTCAGGTAATGATAATAATTTCAGCATTATTCCTGCATAAATACAGACCAACGTTTTTGATTATCCTGCCAATTAACCATAAATCAACAGAGCGACGGCTACTTATTTAAACTTTGATTCAATAGATTCAATGTTTATTCCATACGTGGCATCCGCTCTATCTCTGGAGACAATGAAAAAGATGGGATTTAAAAACACAGAATAAAAAAACTCCAATGGGTTGAGCCGCTTTCTATAATTCGACTGATTTTAAGGAGTCTGTTGATATATAAGGTGTGTTTGCTTTAATGTGGCATCAACATGCACTCTATCATTTTGACCCCTGCACTGTAATACCAGGCTGACCGCTGTTACTATATTATAACTTCTGTGAGCTTTTGCGTGTGGCCGTCACCTCAGATCTCACTAGGTGGTAACTGCAGCACTAGTGGGTTTGAATGGATGCTGCAAGTTGATACATAAGCAGTATTTATATTGAATTCTTCTTGCCTTAGTTGAGAAGAGAAAGTGCCTAAGCTTTATTTACTGTACACCTATAAGAGCAAACCTGGTGTGTCATTGAAAGATCTTGATGACAGCATTCCTGATTCAAACCAGATGAGGGATGATTTTTCTGTAAAGGAGAGAGAGAGCTACTCTCATCCTAACGGGCAGTGCCACCCACCACAGGAATTTTGTTATTCCTGTCCATGGCTGATTTGAGAGTATGCGCCACCGCTGCAGGTAACTAAGAAGGAGAAACAAAAACCTCAAATTGTGCCTCCATGAAACCGATGCTGACTTTCTACCCACAAGACACCAATGTTAATAAATACAGAAAAGTGATTTTTTTCTTGTAAATTATAGAAAAATATATTCATTTTCAGTGTTTAAAATGTCTTCCTTTTTATTATTGCTACGTAAACTGTAGGCCTTGCTTCATGACAGTATTGACCAAGATGTTTAAACAATGACACTTTTTTTCTGTCTAATCTCCTTTTTCTGTGTTTACTTAGTGAAAGATGGCACCACAAACCTGCTGCTTGGTAACCACAACAACATGCTGCTGGTTTACCAGGACGTCACTCTGCAGTGGGCGGCCCAGCTCCCCTTTGTGCCTGTGGCTGTTCGTGTTGCCAACTTCCCGTGAGTACTCCCTCCAGTAAGACGAGACATTCGTTCTCATCCATGTAGAGTTGTTTTATTTTCAGTGGGAAAAGAAAAAATGGTGTTAAAGAAATGGCTACTTTCAATGATGAAACTAATTTTGAATGTAAATTAAAATGACATCTTAATTCCCATGACATAGAGAACCAGTTGTCTTTGTCACTATTCATATTGGGAAACTTAGGACAGGATGTCATGGAGTAGAGTAATAGGGTGTTTTTATGTCAGGGCATTGCTAAAGAGAAAAATGTTTCACATTTTCTCTAAGATCTGTTAAAAAAAAAAAAAAAAAACTGGTTGAATGTCCAAGTTTATGTTGGTCCACAATGAGGAAGATGTCAAGGAAGGTAAAAGAAAAAAAAAAAGGAGTGGAATCCAAACTTCAAGTCTATTTGGGAGTCTTTTTCTAGATCTGCACCAATAATCATGGAGGACTCAGTACAAAGTAAATGCTTTGGCTAAATGCAGCCGTAAACACAACAGCAAAAATGAAGCATGCAGTAGATAGACTGACTCGGTTATCAGCTTGTTCAATCCAGTGTCCGACGTTCGGTCGGAAATAACCCGACAATCTGTTCCAGCTGGCCAATCAGAGCACAGTGAGGAGGGGCCAGTGAGAGCCAATCCTTTGTCTTTCCCCGAACAACTACAATCAAAGTGCAATTTGATACAATTACAACGTAAAGCACAAACACAGTTGAAAAATGATGTGGTCTCCGATCCTGTGTTTGCGCATGTGTGGTTTAGATGTAGGAGATAGTGTGTGTCTGGGTAGCTGTTTGGTTTAGTTTGAGGCTATGTTGTTTTTAAGCTCTTGATAGTCATCAGGTTGTTCAGTGGGACACCGAGGAGTGTGGGAGAGTTACACAAATACGCAGCAAACCGTGCAAAGCAAACGCATACACTCACCACAGCAGCTCGCTGTGGATGTCTGTCGGTTTAATGCAGGGTTCCAAAATCTCCTCCTGCTTTGCCTCAGGAAAACACAGAGTTTCCCCAATCAGGTTCATTTTTTTTTTTCCATTCTCAGACTTCCAGTCTAAACACTTACCTTACAATTCTGAAAAATGTCCACTGGAAATAACATCTCAACTTGGTTTTTTATTTCTTTGTTGTACTTTTCTTTCAATCCTGTCTAGAGATGTTACTCAGATTACCAGTTTTCCTCAATGTCTGACCTTCTAACTCCAATCTGATCAGACTTCTATTGCCCCATTGCTAACAGATCATTAACAGTACGTTGCTGATGTATTGCTGCCAGATACAACAGCATAGCTTCAGGGGTGTAGAAGAGTCTAAATGGATCTAAAATTGATTAGAAATGTTTTCAAATGTGTATTTCCCCTCAGTGAGCAGGCAAATAAAATAATCTGCCAATGGAATAAGTATTTGCCCCTGAAAATAAGATGAGATGGATTAAATATTTACTTGAGGTCAGATTATGGAGTTTTTTCCCTTATTTTAAATTTAATTTCATTGGTAAGTTGTCCAATGCTAAGTTCACACCTAATGCGCTTTGGGCAGTAGATGCAACTGGTTTACATGCAAATTTTATGGTTGAGGCGCATCAAGGCGCATCAAAAGTTCCTGTAGCGCGTCTAGAGCAGCAATAGCGGTCCATATTGATGCATCTGAGGCACGTGACGCTCTTCACAAGCAGCTACGGAAAAGGATTAGGGCCACTGAAAAAAAAAAAAAAAAAGTTAACTGACTTTGAAATTTTATTTCAGTTTAACATGGGAAAAAAAGTCAGAATTCTGACTTTTTTCTCAAAATTCTGACTTTAATCTCAGAATTCTGGATCTTAATGTAGATGGGC